TTTATATGCGCTTTTTTTAGACAAGACCACTTCATCAGACATGAGAGAGATAACATGGCAAATATAGGTAAAGGTAAAGGTTCCCCTTGACATTTAGCCCAGTCATGTCTGACTCTAGGGTGTGGTGCTCACCCCCGTTACCAAGCCGTAGAGCCAGCATTTGTCCAAAGACAATCTTCTGTGGTCACGTGGCAAGCGCACCTAGACACGGAACACTGTTACCTTCCCACTGTGGTGATACCTATCTATCTACTCGCATTTACATGCTTTCAAACCGCTAGGTTGGTGGGAGCTGGGACAAGTGATGGGGGCTCACTCCGTTGCGTGGATTTGATCTTATGACTGCTGGTCATCTGACCTTGCAGCACAGAGGCTTCTGTGATTTAACCCACAGCGCCACCACGTCCCCATCGGCAAATATTTATACATGGCATCAAAATACAGATTGTGGTTGGCTGGTAAGAAAGTCAGTGGGTATCTAATAGTGAGATGATAGCCTCTTTAATATATAGGTATATTCCATTGAAGATTGTGTTGTAAAAGATGCAAGAACCTTTGCCATAGAATAATAACAGTAGAATAATATGCATGCTAATTATACTGAGGGGATTGGCCTTTTACAGCTGCTAATGACCATTCTTTACAGGATGTTTTATAAGTAACTACAATGGTGCGTGAATTACCCCAGGCAATGGATGAGCACAAGTGCAACATGGCAATGAGTTAAGAATCTTTGGTTTGCTTTTGAAGTATTTAAGGTGGATCTGTTAAGGAGGAAAATATATATGGAAGATAGAGTACAGCAGAGGTTGTCAACCCCCAGTCTGCGGCCTGGTGCCGGTCCGTGACCTGAGCCGGACCGGGCCACGCAGACCTCCTGCCCACCGCACGCGTTCCCCTCCCCACAGCTGCTTTGTGCACGTGTGTGTGTGCCAGCACCGGTGTGAGCACTCCCCCACCCCTTCATGCATGCACCTGAATGCCCATGTGAAGGGGTTGGTGTGCGGGCGGGTGTGCAGGTGCACCTGCACATGCACGAAGGGGTGGGGGAACGCTCATGCTGGCAGGTGCTCCCCCACCGCTTTGCGCATGCACCTGAAAGCACACACGCACCCCGTGTGCCTGCAGGGGGGCGCCTTCCTCGGAGGCTCAGCTGGTCCGCAGTCCCAAAAAGGTTGGTGACCGCTGCAGTACATTACAATTATTGTAGTGGTTGTTGTAGGTTTTTCATGCTGTTTGGCTATAGTCTGATGGTTTTTCTTCCTGACGTTTCCTCAGTCTCTGTGGCTGTCATCTTCAGAGGACAGGAGTTAGAACTCTTGTCTCTTCAAGAATACACATTATTGTAGTGTTTATATTTGGTAGTGCACTAAAAAGCCTTGGCTTATACTGAGACCATTGAAATGGATGTCTAGCCGGGCGGATTGCCCGGCTGCAACCCTACATCGACACGGGGGCGCTCACCACCTTGGTACATGCGCTCGTAATCTCAAGATTAGACCACTGTAACACGCTCTAAGTGGGGCTGCCTTTGAGGCTGATGCAGAAACTTCAGGTGGTGCAGAATGCGGCGGCTAGACTCCTTACCAGAGTGAGAAAACACCATCACATTTCTCCAACGCTTGGCCGCATTGCATTGGCTGCCCATCTGCTTCCACATCAACTTCAAAGTTTTGATGCTTACTTATAAGGCCCTAAACAGTTTAGGACCTTGATACTTGGCGGAACGCCTACTTCCCCCAAGGTCTACCCGGATCACCCACGCAAGTCAGGAGGTGAGGCTGAGGAGCCTGATGCCGAGAGAGGCCCGGAAGGAGAAGACACGAAACCGGGCCTTCTCGGCGGTGGCTCCTCGCCTTTGGAACAATCTCCCTCCGGAGATTCGCGCGGCCCCTACGCTGGGCATCTTTAAAACCCAATTAAAAACATGGTTGTTCATTCAGGCCTTCCCTCCAGCCAATTTTTGATTTTCTTCTTTTTTCTCTACTTTTCACTTTATTGTAGTTGTTTTGTATTATCTATGTATTTGTTGTGTTTATTGTTTAATTTTATATTGGAAGCCGCCTAGAGTGGTCCAGTGGTCCAGATAGGTGGGGTATAAATCAAAATAAATAAATAAATAAATAAATAGGATGTGTATATATTTTATATCTCTCTCCCTGGATTCTTGTTCTGTAGCTTATTTTTCCAGAATCGCCACTTTTAATTCATGTGTAGAATGTTCTGATGAATTAAATTGGTGTGAAATAGGTTTCTGTCTGTTGCCATTTCTGATGTCTGATTTATGTCAGTTAATTTTCGTTAATTATTGTGAATAGAGGCTGTCCCATCTGTCCTATTTAGAGTGGAGATGGGCATTGTTGGCAAAAGATGGCATAAATAACACCAGTAGAGGAACAGGTAGAAGTCCCTTTCATGTTGGTTTGACATTGCTTGGTCCAGTAATCGTGTTGCCAGAGTATTTATTCTGGCAACACAATTACTGGACTTAACAATGTGAGGGTAGAGCTGGCATCTGTAACAGCAAACAAAGCTATCAAACGATCAATTCCAACTGGAGTAGGAAAACAAGAAAAAAAGTTAATAAAAGATGCAGCAGAATCACCAACCTATAAATGTGGCTGTTAAATGAAGGCCTACAGTTATGGTCATGCTTTATGGTTAGACCTGAGGTTTGATAATATGTGAGCGGGTATGTAGACTATCTCCGACTATCTCCGACTTCCAAAGAAAAGGTATGCCAGTGTGAGGGAATTGCTATCTGCAACCCTGGTGTGCCATTTGCCCTCACCCCATGACCCCTGGAGGGCCTGTCAGAAGCTGTAACCCTGAAGAGGAGGCCTGGAAGCAGATGATAAGACCCGTCTGAGCAAGGAGGTAGAAGAGGGACTAGCAGGCAATCGGCAGGAATAAAGGTGGGGGAGAAAGAGGAGGCAGGGGGCTAGATGGAGTTAATGGATCACTGAGTCAGAAGAGGTGTGGGGCAAAGTAGCTAAGCAGCGGAACCCCATCTTTTGCATGTCAGGGGACTACAAGTATGTAGAGAATGCCTGGACTGGGATCCTGGCTGAGCTCTCAGTCACCAGAAAAAAGAGGTGTGGTGGAGGAGTGCCTATCTTTAGTTATTCAGCATCTCCTCCTTGCATCCTGAGTCAATGGTGAGGCAAAGGGGGAGATGCTGAGGAACTAAAGATAAGTTTGACTGGAAGGGATCTTTTTGGGCTGGGATGACTATCAACTAATGCAGCAGTAACCAATTGTTCCTTCCGTGCCTTTGATTTTTAAGAGACCCTCTCTGCTTAAGTGTCTTATCCCCTTAACTTTTTAGTCTGCTGGCAGTTAAGTGCTTTTAGTGCCGTTATAATGCAGTCTGCAGGAGTCTGCTCTAAGGAGGCTGTTAGTCTGTTGAGGCCTGTCATTGTAAGCAGTTATTGTTGTTTTTTATCTGTTCAACTGTGGGTAAATGAAATCTTTTTATTCTTTCTTTTACCAATATTTCAGAGGGAATGCCAATTGATGAGACAAAAAGAGGTGGTCTACTCTAGGGAGACTGGAAGCTAATTCTGCTTTGCAAGTCTCAGTACTTCTACTGCACAGCTAGAGATTTTTTTAACCAGAATTCAAAAACTCTGAAAATTTTTAAGATATGAAATTTAGTTTTGAAACTTTAAATGATTTAAGGCCTAAGAGTTTGAAAGATTATTTTCCTTCGTCCACTCTGTTCAGCCTCTGAAGTCCTTCTCTTTCTGTTGTTACTAGCTGTTGCTTTGTGGATGCCTTTTTTCAGTGGTGACACTACTTTTACTGAATGACCTCTCTCAAAAAAAATCACTTTATTCCTTCAAGTCCCAGGTAAAACCTGGCTTTCTACCACATCTGGAACTAGCTGAAGTTAATTTATTTTCTGCTTTGTTTTAGTTTATTCTAACACCTGCCATTTGTTAGGTATTTTTCAACTTCTCTGTTCTTCATTTCTTTGTTAATTTTTTTTTTAAAAATTGAATGTAAAAAAACCTAAATGGGGTTGTTTTTGTGAAGAAAACTGAAATTAATTTTTACAAGTAAAATAAGGGTCTCATCAAAGCATAAAAACCCATGTCTGGGATGTGTTATTTCAGAGTTCATGGAGAAAGTTCACACGATCAAATGCTTCTTACTACCAAAAAATCACAAGATGGAAAACAGATGATGGGGGAAATTTCTAGCCTTCAGCGCTTCCTTGCAGAAGTCATTTATCATATCCGTCACCTTCATCCATAGTCTGAACCGGTGCACCCCAGACACATGCTTCAGCAACAAGTGGGTGATCAACGAGGAGTGCGGAAGCTTTGGCAACCCTCCCGATGGCTTGACCTATAAATGCTTCAGACCCATCCCGCGCGGGCGAGAGCTTAGGGACTGATGGGAGTTGTAGTCCAAAACATCAGAACTGCAAAAAGTGTGCACGTGGGGGCAAAGGTGTAATGAAAACCCCCGCTTTCTGTACTTATGAATGTCTATTTCTCAGCGGCTTTCAACATTCTCCTATGAATGCCCGGGACAGGGCCTGGGGAACCTCTGCAAACGGACTCTCCACAGGTCGGGAGTCGCGCGTTGTTTTGCTCCTTCCCTTTCGGAGTCCTCTCTGGCAGCCACTTCCAGCGGCGCCCTCCACACACAAAGCAAAGCGAAGCTGCGCCGCCTGACAGGAGCGCCGGGCCCGCGTGGGCGAGGAGGGCGGCCTGGGCGCGTTTCCGCTCCGCAGTCTCACTCTCGACTCGAGCCCGCCCGCCCGCTCGCCCGCGCCAGGGTTGGCAGCCAGAGCGGTGGAAAAAAAAAGCGGCGAGCCCGAAAAGCGCCCCCCCCTCCGTCCCCAAACCTCCCCCGTGTAACCTGAGTCGACTCCGCCGCGTTTCCTTCTCTCCTGCAGGGGGCGCAGCCGCCGCGGGAAAGGAGCCTCTGCGGCGAAACGAGGCGTGAGCCGGAGCCAACCAAGGGCCGCCTCACTCCCGGCTGCTTCTGCCCGGGCGGTGCCAGCGGGAGCTCCCTCCGAGCACATGGAGGCGGAGGCGGAGGGAGCGGGAGAGGCTGGCCCCCCCGGCCAAGGGGGCGGGACTCAGCGGGGCGGCTCGGCGAGGGCGGGAACCTCGGCAGCTGCTGGTGGTGGTGGTGGTGGTGCTGCTGCCGCCGCCGCCGCCTGCTCAGATGGGAGCCCAAAAGGGGGGAAGCCGTGCTCAGGGGCGGAGGGGAGCCAGCCGGCGGTAGTGGCGGCGAGGCGTTACTCCCCGGGATTCGGGCTCTCCGGCGGGTGGGGGCGAGGGAGAGGGCAGGGTTCATCGGCCGGGGGGTTCCCGAGCGCTGGACCGAGCAGGAGGAGGATGGAGCCCGTAACCAAATGGAGCCCTAAGCAAGTAGTGGAGTGGACCAAGGGTAAGACGTGGGACTCCGGCTGCTCCTCTCTTGGATCTTTGAGTCTGGCTCCGGGGCAGAGCTTCCTCCTTCTCTTTTCCCCCTCTGGGCAGAGGTTTGCTCCGACGGCTTCCAGCCCCCTCTACTTCTCCTCCTCCCAAACTTTCCTGCTTCACTTCGGGGAAGGGGGAGGGAGCCCTTCGCCTGACCTCCTCACCCCTTGCTCGCCCGTTCTCCCGCCTCCGGGTCCTCCTGCTTTCCTGACTGGCTCCTGTCCCCTCTTCCTCGCAAGAAGGACTGTTTGTCCGCCCCGTCCGGAGGGAATCATACTTTCAATTAAGTACTGTATTGCTCTTAGTACGAAAAGTGCTTCGCAAGATCTGTTTGCCCGCGCTCTGTTGGTCTCTCTCTCTCTCTCTCTCTCACACACGCACACGCACACGCACACACAAACAGAGGCAACCGCCCGCACGCACGGGCCCTTAACGAGAAAAGCCTGTCCCTCGTGTGTTAGTAAGTAAGTAAGCAAACAAATAAACCAGCCGCTGCCCTGAACGTGTTTTTGCAGGTTGGCATAACATCCTGAACTGCTGATTTGCTTACTCTTCCCCTTTTAGGATTTCTGCAAGCTTTTTGTGTTCACCAGAACAAAAACAAACTTCACGAAGTTTTACCTAACACGGGTTAGATGAGACTGAAGTGTACCTTCCAGACCACATGAGTGAGGGAAGAGAAGTAGTGATAACATCCTGCTTTTGTAATAACAAAGACACGCTTTACATTTGCTAGCACCAGTCTATCAGCCTTGTGTTGTCCTTATGGCTTGAACTTAAACAATTAAACAGTTAAAACTGCCTTCTGTATACAGTAGTCTGTTCATAATAATCTGTGTGTGATCTTAAATGTGCCTGAGGCTCCATAGAATTTTCCCATTGAAGACATGTGCTATTCCCGGCTGGTTATATTTCTACACAAATGACCAATTAACATTGAGACTGGGGGTGCAGTGCACACTTTCTGGGGTGGAGGTCATTTTGAGTTGGGCAGGGCACACTCCAGAGCAAAAGTGCGCAGACTTGCACTAGGTAGCACTTCAAGTTTTCTTGTTTTCCTTATGAGCTTTAGAGTCATTTCCCACTTAATGAATGCAACTCTGTTAATTACTAACTTCCATAAAGGTCCTGTCATTAACTTCAGCTTTTAACTTCATTTATTTTCCCATGAGGGAGATGAATGCTTCCTAAACCCGCACTGTATAGTCAGAAGCAACTATATGACTGGACATTCCTTGTGGATTATGTTTTCAAATAAAGTGTACTCTGTGATTATTTAGATTAGACCTTGTTGTGAGTTGAAGGCAGGAAGAAACACAGATGTATCATAGCAGAAATGGTTCTTAGGACCCTTGCTTTCCCCATATATAGTCTTCCTGGTTTCTCTCAAGTTTTGTTTTCGAATGTGTATCAACCAGTTGAGTTGGTCTACCAAAATGCATAAAGATCTTAAGCTAGGCTATAAAACATCCCTGATTTTGCCTCCTTTATGGGACAACTCTTCAGTATTATTTAGTGCAAATTGGATGCTCCGTCATACTGCAATTAAAGCTTTGTATCTAGAAGTGTCAAATAATGGATTCTCGCCCACCTTCATTTTGCATCTGTGGACCTGACTGATTATTACATTTCGAAATGCTCACTCCAACCTGAAGAGTTACTTGGCGAATTAGTAAGAGGAAGGTTAGAGATGTGTGTCTGCTTGTTAAAGAAACTGTTCTCTATCCTTTTTGCCAACTTCTCATGGTTTTACTGTTCATTCTTGGCTCAAGTGCTTGCAAATCAGTGTAGTTAAATCATCTTTCAGGAAAGTATGTATTTTTTCTCTCCAGTTGGATAGCTTTCTATCTCATGTGTGTTGAATTGAACTTTATCCCCGGTTCTGTCCCTCCTGCTAGTAGTCATGTGTTCTGCTAATGCAGAGCCTGCTTTCAAAAAGGTAATGTAAAGGAACTGCAAAAAACAGTTACGTTTCTGATTTGTCAAGTAATGAATGAAAGTAAAAGAGCCAATCTCTCATGTATGAAGAATTAATACTGCCAAAAAGTTTTAAAAATAGTTTGGTAGAGAAATCTTTGGAAGCACTAGGTGAGCACAGTCTGGACATAGAGGTTGGACATACATTGATCTTGATGCGGAGTTTTCAAGCTTGTACAGTATTTAAATTGATATTTTGCCCTTGAAAACATTGAAGCTCATGTTGAGGCTTCATCTGTTCACATAAGTATGGAAGGTTTCTTTGGAGCTGCCTTGTAACTTCATGCACAGTCTCTAAATTACTTTATCTTCTTTCAAGTAATTTTTCCTGGATTAGAAAATTTATTCTTCTTTATTTATTTCCTTTAATTCTGTCTCACCCTTCTCCCAAAAAGAGACCTGTAGCGGCCATGCTTTCTGCACGTGGAGTATTATGATAGCGTTGTAATGAAAATGTACTTTGCTGGTCCATACTTGGCAATTCAAAAACAGCAACATTCCCATTCAGTTCATGGACCTTCTGGTTAGTAATGGACCATAGGATTCATAAGGGAGTCCTGCTGTTTTGAAGAGACACACTGGAATTCTAATGTTTTGGATTCTTTTGCAAACCAGAAACCAAAGATCTGCAATTCAGAAGACAAAAAAAAAATGCATGTTAACCTACTGTAAGCATAAATTATGCAAATGTTACTGATCTGGTCAGATTGTGATCAATTATACAAGAGCAGCATTCAGTAGCAGCTGAAGCAATGACTTATTATTATTTAACAATGTTTCCCATGCTAGATAAGATAATACACTGTTTTGGATACAGAATAGGTTGCTAGTGGAAAGGATTAATGGTATACTGCCTAAGAGGTGGTGTGCTCTACCTTGGAAGTTCCCGGTTCAAATTTTACTGTAGCCACAGTAAATTGTGTTGAGACTTTCTTTCATTGCTGGTATTACCCTCTTCTTGCTTTCCATTCTGCAATATGGCAATAATACCTACCCTCTAAAAGTTCTGTTAGTAGTCCTTACACGATGGTGTGCTGGTGAAGTGCTCTGAACTTTTAAAAACAAAGAAAAACACTGCGTAAAATGGCATTGGGATGGGTGAGGAGTTGGGGTTTAGGAAAGATAGAAAAGTATGACATGGGCCCTACATCACAGGTTCCTTCTAACACGGGAAAGGAAGGATCCTTCTGTGAACTTTGTTAAATTCATTTACCTTAGGAACTGAAGTTTAGTCACAAAATGTGTTGCTGAGCCTTGCCTTTACTAAAACTCCTGGCTGTGGTGTGACACTTCTAATCCCGGGTTAAAAAGACCTTCACGGTCCATTTTCACTTCTGCTCACTTCTTAAAAAAACATTGGCAAAAATCAACAATAGCCTCTCAGGGCCAGAAATAGGAAAAGTCCCTTTTGTGGACTACAGCTCTCAGCATCCTGCAGCCGGCATGGCCAGTGTTGTATTCCAAAAAAGGTAACTTTTCCCCATTCTAGCTTAAAGATATACTTGATTTGCTTCCAGTAATAACATAGTTTGCTTTCTTCTGTTTATTTTAGTGGAGCCTCCCCTAATTAATCAAGGTCTGGCCTAGCCACAGTGAGTGGCTTTAACTTTCCTATGGGATGTGTGTGCTTTGAACAGGAGGGGTTCCTAGCTGACAGAATGCCCTTTTTTTCATGCTCTCAGTGTGAACTGACCTCTCAGCTGAACATCAAAAGAGTTCCTAATGGTACGCTGTGCCTGATGAGTTTGTAATAAAGCAGTGGGCTGGAAAAAAAAAGTGAACTCTTTACAGGCACATGCTAATCACTTTCTTTGCTTTTGGACATCACAAGTGTCATTTAAAAGCATGTAAGTAGCTTGATAATCACATTGGTGTCATGTTTCATTCTGAATCCATAGCCAAGAAAAAATTGCCTTTTTTGGCAAAGCTTTTGTAAGTTGTTATTTCCAACCAAAGTTTTACATTTTAATCCTGTTATATCTGCTCTCTTGGGGACTGAAAGGAAGGCTATACATTTCAGAAATAGCTGTACAGAGACTAACATGCTAGACATTTTTGCTCCTACAGTCTGTCATTATTGGATTTAATATTGCCTGCAATAACCTGGGACTATTTACAAGCTTTGGCAATGAGAAGGAGAAGAAAATATGTGGAACCCAGGAGACTTTCTGCCAGTTAGAGGGGACATATAGATGGGCTTTATGGGGGAAAGAATTCATTCTGCATAAGGCAACTTTCCCAGCAATTAAGGTGTATTCTGTTAGGAAGGTGCAACCAGAACTTGGATGAGTGGCTTCGTTTTTTGTTTGTTTTGTTTCTGATTTACTCCTAATCTTAGAATCCCTCTTGATGCCTGAGGGATTTGTGGAGTTGTATTCTAAGAACAGCAACTTGTCCAACCCCTGATTATAAATTCCTGCAAGATACGTATCAGCTTCCAATAGAGTTTTTAACCTCTTTGTCAAAACCACTCCTCTGTTCAAAAGATTTGATTTTGCGCCTCTTAGAATAGTGGAAAATCAGAAGCCACAGATAAACTAAAAGGCAAAAGGTGAAGTGGTGTCTGTTGGTTTCATTCTGTGCGCAGATGAATTTAAATCCGGAAAAAAATGAAAGATGTTTTGAGGAGTTCTTCAGTTTTGAAATTCTGACAAGAAATCTCAATTCAGCATTCCCTGAGGTGGGTCCTTCAGACATACAGGGCTCTTATCATTCCTTGGAATGGGCATGATAGTTGAGTATGATGAGGGAGGGATATAATGTTCACATTTTTTCTACTCCAGCTTCCAAACTGTCAATTCTAGGACACCAACATTTCACTTACTTGGAGAAAGGCCTAGCTTGAGAACTCCATGGCCTAGTTCCAGCTTGTTGTTGTTGTTTAGTCGTTAAGTCATGTCCGACTCTTCATGATCCCATGGACCAGAGCACTCCAGGCCCTCCTGTCTTCCACTGCCTCCCGGAGTTGGGTCAAGTTCCAGTTTAGGTTCC